TGTACAACGCATTAAAAAGTCATACGTTTTGATGTTATTGATTTTGGGGGAGGGGAGATTTGACTTTAAATTCTTTTGAGTTTTGAGGAAACCACATTTGATTTATACCACTTCTGAGTTAAGGCCCCCTGGGTAAGGAGAAGTTGCTTATATGATATATTCTGCTTTTACATAATATATTTATTTAAATGCGCTTTATTTTAATAATATTCTTCCGTACTTCTAGTAATCTTGCAGATTTTTTTTTTTTTTTTTTTTTTTTTTTTTTTTTTTGGACGTTTAGCTGGCAACCTGCTTGTCTAAACATGATAAACGCCTAACATTTAACAAAAATGTTAAAGTCATTCCACGGTTCTACGTTCACCCCCCCCCCCCCCCCCGATTTGGGATACTCCGTTAAAATATCAAGAATGATTTTTTTTTCTGGACGTCTAGCATGCAAACTGTTTGCATGATTGAGTAGTTAGCCCGCTATCAATACTTGGAATGTATCTCTCCTCTTTCCAGAACTCCTCGGCAGGGGGCTTATTCTGTCACATATTTATAAATCACTGTAAAGTGTACCTTTGAATATTTTATTTTTCCTGAATATTTGAAAGCATATTATATGCAATTGACAGAAAGCTTATGTTTATTTTACAAACACGGCATGATTGTTATTTGTCTAAATGAATGAGCGACATCCAAGTAGATCGTTGTTATGTTTAAAACCCCTGGTTCAAAAAGAGTAGTCCTTTATAACTAATATCAATGCAGTATGTGTTAGATGTCCAGAAATGAAAGGACCTTAGTCTACTATAAATTGTCTAGAATTTTTAGTTGGTTAGTACATAGTTATTCAAGTAATATCAAGACCAACAAATTTGTTTGGTTTACGCTGTTGAGCAAAGTACATATACTTTCAGTTTGACTTGATACTTTTAAATCTCTTTTACGAGGTTTAAGAAAAAATCACTGGTTCGAGGGTATTTGATATTGTAGTTAACGGAGGACCCCTAAACTGTAAAATATGCAATTTTAACATTCCGTTGGGGATATGAATTCGTGGATTTCTTCATACCACGAAAACAACGAAAAATAAATATCCGTGAAAAATAGTGATTAACGGTTATAAATGTTGGTAATTTAGAAATATGTACGGGTTCCTCTGAAACCATTGAGAAAGTACCAAAATCCGATTATAAAACTAGATTCGATTTTAATATGCCATGAAATATTTTTAATTATCTTGTTTTTCATGACATTGCTTTTAAAAGTTTTAATATCGAATTAAAAAAATTAAGCTGAATAGAGCGGTAATGTACATGTATAGAAAGCATTCTCAAAGTGAAATCTAAACCTAAGGAAGATAACTCATAATTAGCATTATCTAAGAGAATGATTTCATGTTTATGTACATTGGTAAATACTATGCAGTAGAGCAGATACATGAATACTTTTTACAAGCAAAACAGCATACATGTATTAGGTAATAAAGAATGGGAATGTGATAGGATACAAATTAAAACGATAATGGGGAGTAATTCCATTACAAAAAATTAATTTGCAGAAGGTTCTCACAAATGAATACTACTTGGTATTCAGTCGGAAACAGAATTGACGTTTAATTTTAAAACAAAATAGTGGTAAGAATAATTACAAGCAGATGAAGCTGATATATAAACAGAGTGAACATCAAATAAAATTATTCATAGACTGGTTATGAACTTGTGTATAACTGAAAAAAAAAGTATAAAGGAAATAAAAGCGAGATCAAAGTGTAATGTGTTAAAGGTGCAGATATTCCAATAGAGAGTACAAATCGGGAACAGGACAAAGATAGGGAACACAGGAGGTGGGATCAGGTGCGTAGGAGTAGGCATCCCCTGTCGACCTGTCACTTGCTATGCTAATGTTTTATTTATTATTACCTCATCAAAATCCATTCCAACACATTATAAATTTTGATGTAGGAAATATTATTAGAATGCGGAAAGGAAATTTTTTTCCTGTTTTCTCGCCATTATCGTATAATGTTTACAATTATTCTCATCAGATGTATGATGTATATAGAGAAATATTATGTCCATTCATCTGTTTCCTTCTTATTACTTAATATTCGTCTAATATCGTTTTAAATAGGCCTTTGTTTTTTAACATAATTTGACTACGGATTAATCTGTAAATACCAGATCAATATATAGGGCTCATAGTGACCAGTCGATAGGGGATGCTTACTCCTCCTAGACACCTGATCCTACCTCTGGAATGTCCAGGTATCCGCATTGTATGTCCCGTTCACAGATTTGTATTGTTCGTAGTTTTTTTTAATATATCGATCACTGTTCGCTATCTTCTCCTATTTCATTACATACAAACTTAAGTTTCTCATTTCTGTATTATAATACAAAAATGTGATTCTTTAAAGTTTGATGTTCTAGCGTATTGATATCAGAAACTTTAGATATTTTTTTCCCAAAACATTCATCATTTAAGTTTAATTTTTATCTACAGAGTTGTATATTTAGTTATTAGTTTACGTAACGATCTAATCAATAACTGAGATTTAGATACGAATTGTGTACATTATTCCAACATGAACTTCTAACCCACTTTTAGCATTTCTGATTAAGAGCATATGTCAATAGCAATATTATATTTAAACACATATCAGACACGCTCTTTCGCGGAAAAATTTTTACATTATATATGTCTAAAGGACATAAAAAGACTGAGGGAATAACATGACTATTATTTTTCATCTTGATTACAATCAACGTAAAATTTCATATATCCATGTTATTCAAGCTAATACACCTGTACGTTAGAAAATTTAAGAAGCTAACAAAAAGTGTCAAAGGAGTTGAAAATTAAGTTTTACTTTTCTTAAATAAATATTGAATTTCCATACCTCTTTTCATCAATTTTTTCCTCATTAGAGGAAATTAGCATTATATACATGCTGGGTAGATCAAATATTGTGTTAAAATCATAAAGTTATTTGTATTATCACATGTTTTATATTATTATCAAGTTAACGTTGTTTTTTTTCAAGTCGCTTAGACTTTCAAACCATTAAAGGTTCATAATTCGTAAAACGAGTGGTCGCACTCACTTTTAAAAACAGAAACAAAACAAATGAGTTTTGATTTCCAGTTTTCCTACCTTTTTTTTCAAAACAGCATATATATCTTTATCAGTCTCCTTTGTAGTAACTAGAATTTAACATGAAACCATACTGTACGTAGGCCTATCAACAATGTACACAACACATCTAACATTTATCCCTTATAACCTGGACGTTTTAGGACGACATTACTTTCGGAATATATATCCCAATGTCGTTCTACTGAAAAGTAAGAGTTCTACATAAGTACAATATAATGTAAATGTCTCTTGGATGTTGTCAAATAGAGGGTTTTTTTCGGATATGACGTGTAAAACCCTTTATCACACATAATATATTCCTTGTAGATCAAATAGATCCCTATCCTGAAGAAAGGTGTCATAAGCATGTGCTTTCTTTTGATGACTACTAGAAAACTTTGTTTTCGGAAAAAAATTACTTATTTCCTCAGTTTTAACCCAGAGATTCTTTCGGTTTCTCAACTACCTACAATTATGCAATACTTAAATTACCTTTTTAAAAGTTATATATATATATATATATATATATATATATATATATATATATATATATATATATATATATATATATATATATATATATATAGATATATATATATATATATATATATATATATATATATATATATATAGATAGATAGATAGATAGATAGATAGATAGATATATGGGAAGCATTTTATAATTATTTGAAGAATTGCTCTTAAAAAATACAAAAAAAGAAAGAAAAACGCTTGATTGAATTTTTAGAAGAAATATCTTTGAAATTAGATTTACCATAACGTTTTTACAATACTCATTCTTCTAAGTTAATATTTCTTATTTTATTCATGATATTTGCATAAAGGTTTGTTAACCCGAAACGCTTCATTCTGACATATTTATTAGGTTAAATAAATGTAACTGACCAAAACCATATAAAAAAGAAAGGGGGGGGGGGAGAACAAGAAATGAAGTGAATAAATATTGATCCATGCATGGTTTCCGGTCGCTTTAATAGTTAATAAAGAAAATAAATGTATTTTCTTTTACTCTGATTTGTTTTTGATTAAAGAAAAACCTTAATTATGAAAATAGATAAGTTTGTAGGGTCAAATTTTCTTTTTCTTTTATTCATTTTTTAATTTTTTTTTCTTTAGGTATTTTTTGAAAATTCTAATTAGTATCAATTGTAAAACATGATTTTTATTTTAATAACTGGGTATAAGATAAAATTTACATAATTTTAAGTTAATAATTGAAAAATATTATACCAATTTCAAAGCCATTGGTCTCTATTAAGAAAAATGGGAAACTTTTCCACAGCGATCCTTGTAACTTTTTCCGATCTATCCAATAATTTTTTGGTAGTATTCCCTAATAGACAAAATCCTCTGAATATGTATTGAAAAACCTTATCACATATGATTTTTGATGATGACCAGAGTCCGCAAGGTTGAAAATTCTCATCCCCAAATTCACATCTCACTGCAACTCTTCTAAACGGGCTTTACCAGCATGTGACTCTCGCGGAAGTAATCGAGCGCCAATCCAATCAAAAAGACTTCCGCAACATCCTGCGTATATATAAGCCGTAATGATTGATAACGATCAATAATCGATTTAATACGATCAAGAAAATAATAACAATGGGTAAAGCAATATAGTTATGAATTAACATTTAATTTCATTCATTACATACCATAATCTGGTTTATTTATTTTTAACTTTAAAATTCAATAAATCAGCGTATAAACTCATTTTTACATATCGTGTTAAAGCAAATGATCCATGAAATAATAGTTATATAATTAATAAAAATGACTCATCTATGAACTGAGCAGTAAGATTATATTATATTTTCAAATTTTGACTCATTTTCTGCTTTTGTATCCAGGTATCTTGACTTTATCCGTGCTAGCAGTTATTCCATTACTTGTTTTTGGTAACCCCATTCGAACTTTAGCCTCAAGATTTGAGGACTGGAGAAGTCCTTGCGCAGGACCGGAAGCATCGCAGGTGGCACTGCCAGACTTCTTGCAGAGTATAACACCGACGGTACAACCCCTCCCACAGATCTTGAGGGAACTTGTAAATCAAATGAAAGAAACAAAAGAGAAAATAGAAGAACTGAAACATAACTACGTACGTTTCCTGATCATATCTAATCCTAAATCGTTGATTATTGACCCCTCTTAAAACCTTTCCATGCTTTTCAAGTATAGATATCTGGGTATACAATATCTATCTGTTCACGTTAGAAGATTCCTCATAATTTTTTTCACAAGGAAAGTATATAAATTTCACAATAATCTATTGGAAGTGTATCATTTGTCTCTGTCAAAATTAAATCCTGATGATAATACTTTAATACTTCAATATAATTATTACAGACTCAGGTGAGGATACATCAAGGTGACTGTGAGAACAATTTAGATGCAGCCTATCTCCGTTTGGACGGATTTCCAACCACGCCCTCCTTCAAAGGAGCTATGCGCATGTTTGAAGAAAGAAACGTAGGTTATCTCAATCAATGAACATAAACAATATAGATAATTTCAAAATATGTAAAGTCAAGATTCTCAATCCCAATCCAATTATAAAATTATACTTAAGTTTATGAATGTCGAAAAATGCTAAAAGGTAAACCTATTAAAAAATCTTTGTTTTGTTATTATTTACATCAGCAGTATGTAATCAGTGTATTTCACTATTATATATAAAACCTTGAGTGTAAGGAAAATAACTATAGAGACTTATCAATTGCTTTTTTTGACCCACTTTATTTAAAATATAAATAGAATATGCCCAATTTATTATAAAAGACGGAAATTGAGACTTTACTCCGGCGTTATATTATTTCTTTCTTCCGCGTTTTCCGATTTGGAGGGGCCATACTAAACGCACGTGGCAATTCAATACACTTCAATACACTTTCCGGTCGGGGGAGTCCTCTTTCCTTACCAGTGGAATTTTGAAGTTTAGTTTCTATGACTAAACAACAGGTGGAGAGAATAAAACTGTGATGTTTTAGAAAATTTGAAATTGTCATGAAATTAGTATCTACAGATATTCCTTGACAGTGGCAGTGGCAAAAAAAGTTTAAAAAGATGCCATAGACGAAAATCTTTTATTGACCTTTTTTTCGTAAACTCTCATCCTTATCTCTGTACTTTACCGAATTTTAAAATTTCCTCAAATAGAAGTAAATTATGAGGGCTGGATAGTCATGGTCATTTGTAGACTGAACCTTTTGGAAATGAAGAGCTATGCACGTATAGGGTATAGGAAATTGCAATAGATATCATAGCTGAAAAATATGGGTTGTTTTTCTATATACTAAATATCAGTTTATGGCTAGAAAAGTAATGTCATATTTTTAGACAGATCTGTTCGGTTCTTTATTGATCCCTTAGTCTTCTTGTAGACATTAGACATGTTAATTTTTAAATTGAATCCATGGGTCAATGTTAATCATTATGTTTATTTTTCTGCTTTTCATTTTAGTTGACTGATATCCTGCTCAAAGATTACCATAAATTATCCGTGGTTATGATCTTCCTCGAGCAGGTGCGTTGGGACGAGGATGTGTATGAAAACGACCAGTTTTTACCCATACTGAATAACATTTTCCGCAGTCTGAAATCCATTCTCTGTGTTTTGACCAACGCCCTAACGTCCCAGAGCGCCCAGGTCACAGAATTTGCCAACAGAACTCATTCCATGGGTCAGCGATACCGAACCATGTCAAGGGCTGAAAATCATGATCGAGATTACATTATCATGAGGCAGAGTTTGAAATTGTTTAGTAACATGATTTTGAAGTACGTTGCACTGAAGGACTTCTTGGAAGATCCAAACTCGGCTTTGTAAAGCTAAGGGATCGTTGTGTTGTGAAGTAATTTATAAAATGGTACATTTATGAATGGCTCATTCTGAACTATGTTAAGTGTACTAAAGATATTTTTAGATTTTTTATCAATTATAAACATTTTTAATTAAATTCCAATTTTTGTATAAATTATAATATTTCTTTGGTGACAATTATCCGCCCGTGTTTGTTGTTGTATTATTATAAACTTGTGCTCTAGAAACATATCATTTGAGTTCCAGATGTTATATCAATATCATTAGTTTTTGATTCGTGTTTAAGAATTTATGTTTATGTATTAATATTTTGATATATTGTTTATACTGCAAATGACTAATGTAATGAATATTTTATAGCTTAATAATTTATTTTTATTGCATCCATTTTTTTAATTGTAAAAGAAGCTCTATTCAAGACTCTCAATATCACTCTGTGCTACCTCTTGATGACAAAATGTATCAATGTTTATGAATTAATCATCAAAATGCTCAGGATATTCGTGATCTCATAAGTATTATCAAAGTATATCTGCCATTTTAATGCTTGAGTCAAATATTGCATATTTTAATGAAAATTGTTATTACATCATTTTTAAATGATGTTCTCAATCTTTTTTATGTATTGTTTACAATGTTGAACATTTTTTTCATCTTTAAGCTGTGATCAAAAATTCAGAGTAGTTATTTTGTTGTGTTTTATCACTTTAATGTATTTTTTATGTTCATGCATTTTCAATAAAGGTTTTTTGCTGAAAATATTACTTTTTTAGGGTTCATTTGTACAAATTTTCTAATTGAATGACACTGCATCAATGAGGATGTGTCAACAAAGCAAAATATGCTAAATTTCTGTCTTCTTTAGTTTTCTTCAACTTCATAATTTAGCTATTATTCCACTTCAAAGGGTTTGTTTATAAATTTGTTTTCACGTTAGAAGTACATGTAGTGAACATGTATATACATATGTTTCAATTTTATGTTACCAGGGGTATTTAAAAGAAATAATTGATTCATCTCAGTCTTTTTAAATGTGATCTTAAATAAATCCAGTTAATGTTTGAAAGATATATTTGTCAGAACTCATTGAACTAATCAAAGTTATAATTGTTTTTAATCCACCTAAGATAAACGAGAAATGTTGAACAAATTAAAATTATGGCATTCACTGTTTGGTCTTTGGCTATTTTATTATTGGTTCTTGCATTCAGATCGGTGTGTACTATCATCAAATGTCTGTATGAGGGTTTTTTTTTAAAGAATTTAGAGAACTAGAGAGATCCCCGATACTGTCCTCCAAAAAAATTATTTGCTTCCTGTTTCTACATTATATTTTTATAATAAAAATTAATTGATAAAAATTTATTAATAAAAATTATATACATCTATATAATATTAATGTTTAATAAGATGTAACAAATTAGAAAAACAGCGGGGAAGACCAAAAACCAGATACAGATTCTATTATTTCTCGTCTGACACAACAAAACTCAACCTAAACTGGGAGACCGAAAACTAGAAGTAGACTCAATAAGAGTTACTGAAATAATATTCACAGCATACACAAATACTTCCCGGAATTTTTTAATTGTAAAAAAAAAACAACAAACAAACAAAACACTAAAAATTTTAGATTTATTGAAGTTTTTGAAGTTTTGAAACTCCTTGGGTGAGGATTTCCATCAAAATTTGGAAACAGGTGGTCTTTTCCCCCAAAATGTTCACATTTCGACAGAAATATTTCTATTCTATCATTAGGTCCTTTTTCTAACTTGTCTCGACAGCTGTTCTTCTCTACAAGGCAAACTTTTGTATTTTTGATTGTCATACTAAGCTCGGGATATTCGTACTCTGATCTGTGGATACAAGTAATTCTATCTTTTGAAGACTATACTTCCAAAATTGTTTGAACTTTTCTAAATTCTTACTTAACGCTACTTACAATAAAATGTTATATATTTGTACAATGTGACAACACTACATTTGCGTATTTTGCTTGGCATAGGTATGCAATGTCATTTCAATTGAAGTCTCAGTTTTATTTGCAAAAGTGTAAAATTTTAGTGGGCACTACACGAACATAAATGCCTAAAGCTCCGCTCCTACATGAATTGTGGGTGCACTTCGCAAACTTAGCATTAAGTTCCTGTATTTTTAACAATTTTAAAACCTGTAAGTCAAATTTAAGATAATCTTTAAAAAACAACACGTTTTAAATGTAACAAGAGATACGAGACACTATATATTTTTGAAATGGCTTTTTAATAATAAATCAGCATGTCTTAACTGCTTAATAAAAACATGTGCTATTTTACAATTTGAGTCTTACATTCAATTTCCACAACTTTCACAATCTAAAACAATGTAAGGACCTGTCAGATGTCTAAAATTTTACTATGGTTTACTGTGTAATCATAGTAGGGCGGGTGGACTTTACTTGTAATATTATTTCATGTGTGTCAAAACGTTGTGCTAGAATTGGTCAGGAATGTTAATGTTCGCATTTATTTTTACATACTATGAATTAGTTACCCTTCATCTTAAATCTGCATGTATTTCTTGAGTTAACTGTCACTATTTTAGCAATTCTACATGTGTAGATTAACTGCAACACTTTAAATCATCTGCTGCCATGCAACTTGTTTACATCCTGTCTGCCATCTTTATCGGTGCATGTTAAGTAGATTAGTTTCGTATTTAACCTCATGTTATTCATGTTACATTACTGGCATAATTACTTGCTATTAATTATGTTAATTATTATTGTGATTTCTAATATTCATTTTAGTAATTGTTATTCCCGATTACATGTGTCTAAAACTTGTACTATATTTTTATCCATCCGCGATATCGTCTGCATACTCAGCAAGTTTACTTCTGTGAAATTTACAAGTTTCAGAGATAAATTGTTTACTTACTTATTATAGACACATCTTTTGTAATCCATATTTATTGATTATTTTGTCTTTTCACTTCTTAATTCTTGGGTTTGTTTATAATCCATATTGTACGACATCTTTGTTTGACAGTACGACACGATTTTTATTTTGTACGATGTCGTACATTGTCGTGATTGGTGGAACGTCGCCGTACAGCATTTGTATTGGTTGAAACTTGTCATGTGACCCTTTTCCGAAGGTTATATATAGGGGGCGATCGCATTATGTCATCAGATAATTTGCCGAGTTGTCAGGCGCGTAAATTCAAAGTAGAGATCCAAGATCCGCCCATATTTTCACCATAGCCATACTATTGTGATTCCAGGTGAGAAAATGTTCGACAATTATCTCCCAACACACTGGACACCTATTTTATTGTAATTAACTCTGGAGATCATCCTACTAAAGCCATTGTACACCCCCCCCTTTTTTTTATAATAGTAGCCTGTACGGTAGACGCCACCAATATGAATTGTACCTGTTCAGATGAAAACTATATTATGCATGATTAATAAATGTTATTGAGACCAAGATGAATCTTATGTTTTCCCTATTACCAAGTGACCAAGGATTTTAGTACAGGAGTACTGCCAGTTATTATTTTGTAGCGCCCCCAACTTAAGCTTGGCCATTCCCGGGGAGCTTACAACAATCTTTCATGTTGATAAACTCCATTTGGGATGGTCTCCACGTTCCACGGTGGGATTCGAACCCGCGACGTAAAGATCAACTCCTTACTCCGCGACTCTAGAGCAGACGCTCTACCACTGCGCCAGACTGGTTCCTTTTAGAGCTAAAGGTTCCTTTTAGAACTACAGCTATGTATATACTAGTACATAGCTGCCTATACTGTTTTTACCTCTCAACGTTTGTATTTTTAAGTCATTAAAAAACATGAATTTCATGCAACAAAATTTTGAAAAAAATATTAAGATTTTCTTTATAAGAAGTTACCTGAGTAACTCTTCATCAGCAGATTCCTTTTCCTACATATTCTTATGTAAAACTTTTATCATTTTCTATGGCCCCACCCTACCGCAGGAGGTCATAAATTGAACAAACTTCAATCTTTACTGCATGAGGATGCTTCCTTATAAATATAACTAATCATGAATTTGCTGTTGTTCAGAGGAAGACTTTTAAAGATTTTTCCTATGTATTCCCATGTAAAACTTTGATTGCCCATTGTGGCACCAGCCTGCTCCCGGACGCCCTGGGAGTCATGATTTGAACAATATACACTACCTGCAGATGCTTCCATCTAAATTTGATTAATCATGGCTTTGCTGTTCCTTGGAAAAAAAGATTTTTAAACACTTCTATATATTTCTATGTTAAACTTTGATCCCCCTTTTCTGCCCAACCCTACACCCAGGGCTCATGATTTGATTGATTGATTGAATGTATATTGTTTTATGTCCCGTTCGATAATTATTTTTTCACTCATATAGAGACGTCACCATACACCGGTGAATGGCTTCAAATTTAGACCTTTACTCAGCATTCAGGGCCATTGAGCAGTGAGGGTTCTTTATCGTGCCACGCCTACCGTGACACGGAGTCTCGGTTTTTAAGGTCTTATCCGAAGGATCCGCAACTTTCACTTCAAAGTGCCGAGCGCTTGGCGAAGGAACAGTTGATTTGAACAAATTTCAATATGCACTAAGGATGGTTCTATATACATGTAAACATGATTGATAATGGCTTTGCTGATCTTGAGAAGGAGATATTTAAAGGTGTTTCCAAGTTATTCCTATGTATAACTTTGATCCCTGTTTTGCTCCCAACCTACCCCCGAGGGTTATGATTTGCACAGTCTTAAAACTACACTACCTGAGGATGCTTCTACATTGATATGACTAATCATGGCTTTGCTGTTCTTTAGAAAGAGATTTTTTAACGATTTTTTTCCTACATATTCTTATATAAAAACTTTGATCCCCAGTTTTGACCCCACCCTACCCCGGGATCATGATATGAACAGATTTGAATTTACACTACCTGAGGATGCTTCTGTATTAATATGATAAATTATAGATTTACTGTTCTTGAGGAGAATATATTTTTGATATTTCCTTTACAAACTTTGACCCCCTGTTGCCACCTCGACCTACCCCCGGGGGACATGATATGAACAGACTTAAATTTACTTTATGTAATGAAGATTTCACACAAGTTTCTGGCCCAAAGGTTCTTGAGAAGAAGATATTTAAAAGATGTCACAAAATTTTCACTAATTCTTAATTACCTCCCCTTGAAAAAGGGTGTGGCACTTCCTGAAGAAGTCGAAAATGTGAAAAGTTTACAGACAACACAACAGACAGACAGACAGATCAAAAAAGCTCACTTGAGCCTTTGGCTCAGGTGAGCTAAAGAAAATGAAGATTTTAAAAAATAACGTTTGTTCATGTCAGTGCTGAGATTTGTTTGTAGGTGGGGTGGTGGAGGAGTGTATCAAAACCCTCTGCCATAAACCTGTTACACCACCAAACTGCATGCACTGCAGTCGAACTTTCTGTGACAAGAGGCTGTTTTGAACGCCCTTAAATATTTAAAAATGTTCCATAACATCATCGACATTACGAAATATATCATTCAACTCAGTCTTCATGGATTTTGTAATTACAACCAATAGATTTTTCTTAATATGTATAAGGCTCAGATCAATTCAGTTGTGTTTATGTATTAATTTACTTTATAGAATGGCTCAAAATAAATCTATTTTCTTGACTGTCACCTTGAAATCTTAGAACGCTCAATTTTTCCTTGTATAAATGTTTGAATAATTTTTCATTTAAGAATACCAATTTAAGTTTTAAAACATGCAATTGTGTGAATATAAAAACAGTACTTGCACTTTAAAAAAAAACTCTATTTTCAAAACCAAATATATACCTCCTTAAAATTTAATGGCTTTTAAAGCAATACAATGCACTTCATAGAACAGCAAAACAAAAATGAAACTAAATTTGGAGTCTGGCAACTAGAGGTACTCTCTTTCTTATTGTAGTACTATCCAGCATACTTCCCGTATTGTTGAAATTGCTGAAAAAATCCTTTTAAAAAAGTTTGAGTTTCAAATGAAAATTTGTAACTCATTCTAAAGGTGGGGGTTCCGATCAAAATTAGAAATCTTCAGGGGTTATTTCCCAAAGATTCACATTACAACAGAAATATTTCAATTCTAGTTCATAAATTTTCAAAACATTTCTACATCGATCATTTTCAACGCATGAATGTTTTTTTGTTTTGTCACTAACTCTATATATTCTCCCTCTGATCTGGTGGTACATTGATTTTTTTTGTTTTGTTTATTTCTTGTTGTTATTGTTGTTTGTATGTTGTTTTGTCTAACTTTTCAAACTTCTTACTCAAATATATACTTTACAGTAATGATTTTATACCATCAAATAATGTTTTTAAGATATTCAATTCGCAAATTTTGCTTGATGCTACATGTAGCTTTTCATTTCATTGTATAAAACTTTTTTTTTTATTAGAAAGGGCACTATTTTAGTGGGACCACACGAACACTTACGCCTAAAGCTTTACTCCCACTACATTGTACGAACTTTGGCTGCACAGAGACCTTTATCTCAATTAATAAATAAACCAAATTCAAGAGAATCTTTATCTTTGAAAACAGTAATATTAAAATGTAACAAAAGAGATGAAACATTTTGAATGTATATACGTTTATTATAGATTAGCATTTTATTCTTATTTGATAATTAAATAATGCTATTTTACAGCTGCAGTGAAAATTTCATTTAAATCTAAAACAAGCATTATTTATGATGACGTAAAATGAATGAGAGGGCTGGGCCTCTGAAAATAACTGTTCCTTAAATGATAATGTTTATCCTAGTTTTCAAAATTATCACTCCACTTGTAACTAATATAAGAACTTCATTAACTTTGACTTTTTCTGGAAGTGCGTGTGCTTTCATGGAATCAATACTAGTAAACGTGTTCCTCTTCCAGTTGAACTTTAACCCCTTTTTATTTAAAGTATTTTAGATCTTTAGGTCTATTTATTTTTGTGTTTCTAAGTTATTTTATGCAAGAAAGATTACAAGAGAATCAATCAATCAATTAATGATATTTAAAAAAAAAAATAATTTTTAAAATTAGAAATTGTAGTTTTTTCAGGGAAAATATTTGTAAATTTATACGTAGAGGCCAATCTCTACTCCTCTCTATCATAAAACTGTTATGGCAAACACTTAATGACATTTTCCTCTGTCTTGTTCCTCAATTATAATTCTATCGATTGTTTCCTCTTAACCAAAATTTTAATTTATAAATTAAAAACCTATATACTACTAACATTTTTATGTTCCAAGAATTTCTAGGTTAAAACAATTCATGTTACAGTTCATATTAACATCAACCTTCAACTTATATACTGATAATATTGAATTATTCGGAGTCAAATTGTACAATATGATGGAAGTTAATATTTGTCTCTTTTCTAATTTCGCAAACGTACATACTTGGAACACAAGTGCTTAGTTTTTCTTCATAACCATTATTATTCTAAAATTAGTTTTTAAAATGTAATCTCAGATTTCATGGAAAGAAGGAAAATCAAATTTACAAGGAGATCTCTTTTACTCTTTACAAACACGGAAGCAAAACAAAAGGGCCCCCAGTGCATGGGTCAAGGGCGAAGCGCTGGTGGGGATCATGGGCCAAAGCCCCCAGAGGCTCTTGTAATCTAGAGATTTTATTGGGCTTAACTGAAGTCTTTTAAGTTAACAATTTTACTTTTTTCTCGTCATCATTAATGCTGAGAATTAATAAAACTATGAATTGTTTAAGGTCTGTGTAAGCAAAGCCTATGAGTCAAGCCTCCAGAAATTCTATTTTTAGGGATATAGAAATAAGACATTTCATTCACACCCTTTTTGTTCATGTTGTTCAATAAATCATTTCTTTCTTCAGAAGGAACCATGGTTTACCGATATCTTGGATTTGACAATTTATGGGATATGACATACCCACCCTCTCGCCCCCTTTAATCCGCCACTGATCGATATACTTAATTATTCAGGAAATTGTTGCTGTTTAATTTACGTATCTCTACATACACATCAATATTTCCCGACAAATTACAGAATTTGATCCACATCGCTTTTTCTTACTTATATCACATCGCCTACAATACGGACTATATCACTGCAGATCTCCCCGATTTCTTTCATTGTCAAAGGAGAGCACTCTAGAAAACCAATGTTATTTGGCTTTACAAAGAAACCTGCACCGAATTTTATTATCTTCAGGAAAAGAGTTTAACGATCTCCGAGAAAAGCTCCTTCATATAACGTTGATGAATGTTATTGGGACAATAAATCAAAGAATGACAATATTTTTGTGTCAAAGCGTTCGATTTTGATTGACAGGATGTAAATTGAGAGAAGCAAATCCTCGGGACAATATCCCGGCCTCCTGGCCGGGCGCAAACCATTTGGATCCTACATTAAGATGTATGTCTCCAATCTTATCAATAATTAAAGTCCCATTTTAGAAGACAGTGACAAAGTCGCAGTTGTCTTTGACGGGAGAATTGTCTTTGATGCAGAGAGTGCGGGAAGTCGGACAAATTGTTAGCTAATTTGTCAAGAGCTGTAATTTAACAATGGAAATAGCTTCAGTTCTATTGCCGCTTACAGCAATAATAATTGGCCGCTTAAAACAATAATCGACAATTCCCTGTCAGCTACGTAAATATCTGTGAAAATAAGACGTTATTAACTAGGAACTTGAAGGACGCCTTTCAATAGGAATAACAATATTTTTTTAATCCCAAAGCATAATATGTATAAGCAATTTTGCCAAATATGTCTCTTGTTCAATTTCATTTCTTTCCTTTCTTAATTTACGTAAGATTTTTAAGTATTGTACCCAAACAATGAACATATTAAATACAGATTCATAACGATTTGATATAGAGTATATAAGTTATGCTAAATATGTATTATCATCTGGTTTACATTTAAATCTTGCAAAGTAATGAAGTATGTGAGAAAAATTAATAAAAGTCTAAATACAATACCGTAAACAGGATGCGTTAAGATAGAACACATCTCAAGAAGGAGCACATTTATCTCTTTAATACCAACTCCGTATTTTAAAGGAGATGACAAAAACTCAAAAACATACTGTATTAGAAGTATAGGAATATATTATACACGTATTTCCTGTGAATGACATGAATAGGTAACATCATCATTGCGGGTTATGTATTCTTATTTATTTTGTATAAATAAGTTCCATATTTCCTCGAGGACTGCCTCTTGCTAAAATACAATTAATGTAAACATTTAATGCAGAAATTCCAACCCACACTTACTTTATTGAAAAAGATGTCAAATATAAAGGAATCTTGGATTTACATATATGGATAAATATATAACAATCTATTTATTCACTGAAGATTTCCCGATATTCTATATGAAATTTGACGTCATGTGTAGAATGACGTAAACGAGAAACACTTAAGAAGAGTCTAAGGAATGTTTTCATACACCCAAATATATATAGGGCACATCACGATTATGACTGAGAATTTTCGTCCATCCAAGGTTGAAGATTTTGAAGGGCATGTAAAGATGAGTTGCTCATGCACAAAGGGTCTCTGACGTCATAAATAGTTTTGTTAGCCTCGTTTTGAAGACTAAGCATAAGGCGATTGGCTGCTTGTCGTTCAGCCTCGCGTTCTTCCGCCGTTTGTCGCCTGAAAAAGAGACAAAGCATAATTTGGAGTACATTAAAAGAAAATTTACTTAAACGTTATACATGGTGCTCTTAGGAACTGTTGAGCGAGTGTTTTTTATTGTACGTATGCAATGCATTTTGAAAGTATGATTTCAAATGCACTGAAACCTTGCACATCTTTTTAGTTTACATATCACATTGTGTTCTAATAGCTAAAATTCATTGAAAATAGAACAAAATACAAATTAAAAATATAACATACTAGTAACAGCTGCAAAACGTGTGCCCAAGTTAAATATATGCTCGAAGGGAGTACATGTATTTGAAGTATACATGTATTTATAAAAAATAGCAAACTCGAAAATCAATAATTTTGTCAATTTAGTCATGTTCAAGGCACATTTTTTCTTTTTAAAACTGAAAAAATACTAGGTTTCTATGTTGCATTTTTCTATTTCTGTAATTAACTCTATCATGTTCTTTAAATTTCATCAAAAATGCGACAGATTGGCTTTTAACCAGTTAAAAACTCTCTTAGTTACTGACCATGTGATGGAATGTACATGTATACTGATAACAAGTTCTCTTACTTAACGCTTTAATGAAAAACAACAGATGTTCTGTTTAACAGAAAACGTCATCACTTTTGAACGAACTATTTACTTGATCGGACTTGTAGTAAATATTATTGTAAAAAGCAAGCTTAAGCTTGCAGCTATGATTTAGAACTGTTTATATTAATAACTATGCATATTTATTTAAACACTCTCAGAATTCCGAAATGAAATATGAGAAATATCCAAAAAGTCATCTGGCATGGATTCAAAAACAATTAAAGTTTTACAAATATTATGGAAAATCGGCGGAAGTTTGCAAGATCTTCACAGGGAAGATATTAGATCATTTTTATGAATAACATCATATGGTTTACAGGAATATCAGTTATTTCTCTCAGTTATATCACAAAAGCTTATCTAGGTATAAATAGACCGCCTGGATATGTCTTATGTGTTAACAATGGTGTTCTTTTGTTTTTCTTTTTTGCTACTCTCTCTCTCTCTCTCTCTCTCTCTCTCTCTCTCTTTCTCTCTCAACAATATTACTCTCTGAATCTTCTCTTCACTTAATCACGTGTTACTAAAATAACTGCAATTTTATTACTTATAAATACGGAATTTCCAGACTAATTGTTAATTAAAATTGATAAACAGTTAATTCATATTTTATACACATAATATGACGTTTTCATTGAATCTACATGGACAAGATTTTAGCCAAAATGATATTTTTAATGAATTCATTAAATATCAAGCATACGGGAGTAACAGGTTTAGTAAGCTACTAAAATCAAAATGAAGAAGAACTGAAAAGCATGCTTATTTATCGTAGTAACATCTCATTGATTTAAAGAATTTCTCGTTCCATTTTTCGATATTTTGAATTATAATCATGTACATGCATGATTCATATTTTAAAAATAAAACTGTATGAGAATCAAACTTTCCCAACTATATTTTTAAATTTCAAAGTTACAACGAATATTCATAATTTACCTCCATTTTGTTCTGCGGTTCTGGAACCACGTTTTGACCTGTGCGTCAGTCATTTTCAGCGCCTTTGCTAGGGTGGATCTTTCGGCTGAAGCTAAGTATTTTTGGCGGTGAAATCTTTTCTCCAGTTCCATGATTTGCAGACGAGAAAAAGAGGTGCGCGGCTTCTTCCTTTTCGGGGGTGTTCTGTTTTGATATGGGTGTCCAATCCTGCGAGTAACTGAAAATTCAAGAATTTACAAAATTATAAATTACAATTACTTTCCTTCTAAACTTTAAAAATATTACAATAATCCTAGTTTAATAGAGTTTTAATATCCTTATGCAAAAAATAATAGACATCTTCAAATAAAAATAGAAAACAAACAATTGAAATACTATTCATGTATTTTGAAATGTCTACTAGGGTTACTGAAACATTTTTCTCAAATTTTGTTCAAATCTTTAACAGTATGTTCCTATGTTTAGCCTATTGGATTTATCAGAGAAAAAGTCATGTTTTATCGTAAATGCGAATACAATAGTTTTTTAAATGTTTATTTCACAGAAGGAAGTCCTTAATTAAAACTTACATGAAGTTGCAATTTATTACATAAGTATTACTTAAGTATAAATCAAAATTTAAGTAGGGTTGTAATAATTTGTAAACAAAACTTGTCAGGGTTTTCTGTTAAAAAGTACCTTTGAAAGTAAAAAAAAAAGTACCTATATACATTATGTTTTTAGTAAGATTCACTCTGCATTTTTTGAATTAGTGAAAAAGATAAAACTTGAAATACAAAAATGATCTCGAAACACCAACTAATATTCGTTAACGTGTTTTATCTAACGGATCAATAAGATTTTTCGTATCTTTGTTTTATTTTTTTTTTTTATTTATTTTTTTTTTTATTGTGCAGAAGAGTATAAAAGAGAAGAATCGTTAATCTTCCAAATCCATGAATAATAGTTTATTTAAATGTAAGTAAAAAATTGCATTCCGACATTCTCTTCATTTCAAATACGATTTTTTTTCATAAAGGTATACATGACAATTTCAAAGGAGATATCATGGATATATATATGCTCTTGTTTTTACATGAAGTAGTTGTCTTTTCATTTAAACATGTACATATGAACTGATTCATACATTGTATATTTAACTTCCCTGTCGTATATATATATACGTTTTACATGTACACCTCTCTCGTTAACAATTCTAAAACAATTGAGGTCAAACCAAATTAGTTATTTATTGATACAATTTTAAAAGTTAAGAGCTGGATCGTAATTTGTTTAAAACTACAAAACATCATGAAGTATGGTAGTGTTTACAGACTAATTTTATTTATTTTTCCTATCGGAGCACATATCAGGGACTTACATCCGGGTTAGTTCCCATACTTCCTGTTATTTCCATAATTTCAGTACCCTTAACTATACTGACCGTATTGTATATAGCGAATAAATTATAAGTACATTTAGAAGTCCAACAAAAGTCACTTGTCATTCATTCAATTTTAATTGGTAGACCAGTTTCCAACTGCCTCTCAATTACTAATTGAACGTCATTCACAAAGCACTTATGTTGTAACATCATATTCGATTGTTCAGCCAGTCAAACTCACATTTAGCGTCAGCTATACTTAGAAATACCGTTAATAGGTAACTTATAAGCTTTACAATGACTATGCTTGGCTTTCTTAAGGGTTTTCTCTTTAAACAAAAGAATATGTAACACATTTGTAATTTGTAAGGGTGTTACACAGTATACAATACTGATTTATAAAGCGCTTTATCTCTCTAAACATTCACTTTCATTATTTTTTTTAATTATTTTTTTTTAGATACGATGTCCCCATATATCGATAAAATATGATAAGAAGATAAATCAGTATACATATATCTTATTCTAATTTCTATATTGATTTAAATACATAACAGTTTTACATATATACATAATTAGATACATGTAATTAGGAATTAGTTTGGTTTTAATACACCCTAAGATAAGCTAAATGGCCTGGAATCCTTTTAAAATTTCCTGTTTTCCAATGATAACTACAAAGAATCAAATCGATATATATAGGCTAAATAATAGACAAATGTAGATCCCATTTTTTTCTTGGAAGAGAGGGGTGCTAAGTGTAATTACACAGTTTGTCTTGCTCAGTTAAATACAAAGGAAATCTGTACAATGAAGTACATTGATCATTCATGAAGTGAAAAGTCAAGAACATATTTTTCTGGATTATAAATATAGACCAAGACATTTAAAATTTCCAACAAGTATAAAGTATGCATGGTTATGTTTAAACGGAAGACCATGGTGACTAACTTTTTTTTTGTCCTTTGTATCCAAAGTGTGTAGACAACCACTACCTCCAAAACACATATCGCATTTGAAAAGATCACGAATTATGTGTCTTTTTGAGAATTTTATCAAATAAACGATATATTAATCATCATTAAAAACATTTCTCTTATAACTTTAACCAAGACATTTGATAAATTTTGGTATGGTAATATTTTTGAGACAAAAAACGCAAAGCAAAAGTAATGATAACAAATCTTTTAATTCATAGGACGTGTAACGAAGATAAGAATAAAAGAGAAACGTTGATTTCCCACCGATAACGACAAAAGAGGGACAACACTTGATTATAGTTTCCAATCACTCATCAGTCATTCCCTGAATTAAGCGACTGAAAAGTGGCATCTCGATCACGCTCGCTGCTAGAAAAACCTCAGCGCTTGTCGTTTGTTTACACGCGTCTCATAAAAAGTGTACAATGTTTACTTTTAAACACAGCTCTTTACAGAAAATAAAAATAAATAAAATGTTGTTATTTTCAAAATCGTTATTAATTCTTTCAACATCTTTGAAACGAAATCAATAAAGTTTTGAAGGCGATTAGTGCCAAAAAAGACCCAGTCTATTATTCAAATTGTTTTTTAACAAAATGAAATCCATTTTACATTATTAACTATTTTATGTATAAAAAGATCTTGGATTGTCTTCACAAGAGGACTTAGTTCACCGAGCAGGGGGAAATATGTCAATAAGTTTAAAGTAAACTTGCGTCAAATACAGTTATAATTCACAAATCTTTCAAAAAAAAATTTAAAAGGGTATTCTTCTGGATTTTAGAGAAAAAACTATCAAGCTTGTTTAAATTATTCTACATTAAATGACAGTGAGATCAAATTAAAAGCAAAAACTTAAAAAAGCAAATGTGACTTTTTTATTCTTATGAAAGTCATATTTTGCTTTTAATTATATACATGTGTCGTTTTCTGATTACTGGGTTCTGCTGGGATTTTTCTGTTAATGTAGATAAAACAAAAATCGTTATTTTAAGAAAGGGAGGTAAAATCAAGCCTACAGAAAAATGGAATATTAATGGGCATTCAATTGAAGTTGTCGATAATTACATATTTTACACAAAAGCAACTAACGTTCCAAGGAAGGAAAGCCGTGTTTGCATTAAAATCAAAAGTAAAAAGTATGTGTTTAAAATTTAAATACAGAAACCCTTTGTCACTTTTTGACACCTATGTAACAAGTATTTTAAACTGTGGTTGTGAAGTTTGGGGTAGTCACAATGCTAGTGACGTAGAAAAAGTACAGTTGGAGTTATAAAATCTGTTTTAGGCGTAAGGGAGAACACCAACTTTGCTTCAGTGTATTTAGAAACTGGAAGCTACCTATGAAAAATACTCGATTGTAAAGAATTTTCAAATTCTTGTTCAAGGTTTTATTTAGTAAAAATTGTATAATAAAAAATTGTTATATGACAACTGTGACAGAATGAAAAACAGTAAGAAAAATTGGGCCTTTTGTATAAAGAAAAATTGTAGGAAATAGGGTTAGAATATATGTGGTGTGGACAACAGATGGCAAGTTCTAGAATTTTTTCCCAATTATAAAACAAAGATTGATTGACATTTGTGTTCAAAATCTTATGGAAGAAATCAATTATTCATCAAAATGTAATATTTACAAACATATATTAGACAATTTTTCTTTATAATATTATAATCCTATACCTTCTTTGTACAAAAACGCAAATCAGTTTCATCTCATAATCTGGAAATTGAGACAGGACGACATAATAAAATACCTAGGGAGAGTAGAATGTGTAAAAGTGAAGTAGAAGATGAATACCATTTTAATTTGTTCGCATTTTAAAAAGATCCGTAAAAAATATATCAAGAAGTATTACTGGCAAAAGCCATCTGTTTTTAAATTTTTACAATTGTTAAGTGCTCATAACGTCCATGATCTCTGTAATTTAGGGAAATATATTCATTATGCTTTTGAGTTAGGAGAAAGTTTTCTCTCATATGGTAATTCTCCATGAATACATTATTATTATATTGTATTATATATGTGTAATCTATAAAAACCGACATACAATGTCATTATGTAATATTTTATATTACACGTATATGTATCGTTGAAATGCGATAAGATGTATGTCTAAAGCAACAAACAAATAATAATGAGAATATATAAAATTCATAAAAGAAGTAAGTGACAATTATGATTGTCGTGTACTTATCATATGAATTTCATATAATTCTATAATTAGTAAACATCATCTATTCAAACATTCAATTCAATGTAAGGAAGCTTTTAAAAAAAATTAGCACATTGTCGATAATTTGATCATACTAACCGCCAAATCTGTCTCTTCTCATGTCAAGCCACCCGGAAATTCCATATGACGTCAACATGGGAATTATGGGATGTGGTCTGTGAATTGAAATCTGGCCCGGATACCCACAGTATCCAACAGGGGGCGCTGATAAGGCACCCGGTAACAGAGGCGAGGGATAAAATGTAGAATGTCCAGGTTGCTTTTCGTTATTGCTTTCTACCCCTCTGGGATCCACTCCATCATTTGATTCAGAATCCGAATCAACATTCTCACTTTTCTCCTCAAAATTGCTCAGAATTCGACTTATTCCGAATGATAGTTTGGGTTTAGATTTAGAAGTTTCGCTATGGCTTGGAATGTCGTTTTTAGATTTTTCAGCCATTACTGGCGACGTACGGTTCTTTTCAGCGTCCATTCTGTTCTAATTGCAACATTAATTTAAGAAATTCGTGAGTGAGAGTAATAGGATCCCCACAATTAATAACAATTAAAAGAGGTGTCTCAGACCCAAGAAGCATTTCAATCATATTATCTTGAAAGCCGATATCTACTTTAAAACTTCATTAACAGTATTATTTTGTCGAAGTAGATTATCAGAATCAGTTACGAAGATTCTGATTGGACAAGACTCTAATACTCCGCCTTTAACACCGCCAAAGTAATTAGACGTGACGAGATAGGTCGGACCTTTGCGAATAAGGTGTCAACGAAATCGTTACACGTGTTTTCTAGCTATCAGGAATGGCATGTAGATATATAGCGCTTAATAAACAAGTAAAAAAAACCTCTTTACAGTGCACATTTGTCGCCAGAACATTTGTAGAATATTTTTGTGATACAGAATCTTTTTTTTAATTTGTTTGCCAAACTTTTTATCTATTTTGCCAAACTGTTTCCGCTTTCTCATTAAGATGAACCCAAAACTTATTTTACATAATAAATTATTTTCTTTCTGTTGCTATAGTTTAAATTTCATGTGGCAATTTTCAAAAGAGAAAAAGAAAACTTCATGCACGATTAATCTGTGCTATGTACGAGAATCTATGCTACACAACACATATGCTTTTACTCTTTATATCATTTTTATGTTTCTAACCCTAACCCTAACTCAAACCTTACACTGAGCCCTAGAAATCCATTCAGATTTTTTTAAATTTTTGATTGAAATAACATAATTTTCAAAAAGGAACATTTGGAAAAAGAGGTGGAATTTGATATACTTTTCCAACAGTAAACTTAATACATTGTGTTGTAACTCATCAGACAAAAAACGTACATGCAAGCAAATGGACTGAAAGGGTTTTTGAAATTATCTTAATATGTTAGCACCACAGAGGAATGCATCTCTGACGTTGAATTTGACATTTAACAGCGGATTATTGTTTAAAATTTTAAAGCAAACAATTTCGACTTTTCGTGTAATACTATTTCTAAAATCTTTTGCGTGCAAAAGGGGTAAAAATCACGTTATCTGTCACCTTGTAATCTCGGTAAATTACACGGTTTCCCTATTGAGACCAATTCCTATTTATAGTTCTATTTTCTTCGAGACCCCTCGGGTATTTTCAATGTCTTTGGAATAAGCGGTCATTCAAGGCAATGGATGGCAATTTTCTCTACAGCGGTCATTCATTACAATTTTCGACTGTGGCCAAAATATAACCAATTCGCTCACGCGATCCGTCCAGCGTTTCCTCAACTGACAATGGATTAGCATTATTGTTTTTCACTTTATGATTACATTTGTTCATTTTGTGAAAAAAGTCTCGATGGTAACCAGTAAGAAGCACTTTAACACCTCTGTGATGGTCTCATTTACACAGACGGAAAGCATTTGACGCCTTTTACAATTGACTTTGTACGGGGAGGCAAAAGGTTTAAGTCAAGATCTCATAAATAGACAAATGAGTTCACAATCCTAGCGCGGACCATCAGACGATCTATTATGTATTTATTTCATTTACACGCAAAAAAGGAGTTTTAACATAGTCTCCCGGGGAATTTTAAGGCAAATCTATAGTTCTTACTTCTGAGGGAAGAAAGCGTGTTATGGCTAAGTCTATAATCGTAGACAAATTGTCCTTCCTTCCCTTAGGGGTTCACCCATTTTCGATTAAATTGTTGCACGGGCGCTCTCGTGTATCTCTGTTTTTCTAATTGATACTAAACTTTTTTCTGCTTTCCTTAGACAATGAGATCGGTGTTAGGCTTTATTAAGAATTGTATGCGTCATTTGAAGACCCCATGGAAATTACAAACCAATGGCTGTTAATCATCATTACAATGTAAAAAGTTACTGCACTTTGTATAAATGGTCAAATATATTCGTTCTGATTAATATAAAATTGTTAAGGCCTACAGAAGGCGTCAATTACCTTGAACCTCGTTTAACAGATGTACATCACAACATGAACGAATAACAAAATAATAGTGTTTGTTTGACTAATTATGTAGTTTTGAACCGAATGACTGCTATTGAAGCAAGAGCTACCAAAACCATTGATTATGGGTTCTAGTGTGAAGTGTTAATTTTTTTTTTTTTTTAGGTTTCTACAACCTAATCTGCCACAATTTTAAATCAATCAAGTGATATATTCAATAATATTTTCAAGAGGCGTCAAGACACAGCATGTATGAACGTTTGATAAATATTAAATGTTAAAGTAAAATATTTTTAACTTTTTTAAAAGTACAAAGATTCACATGGCTCTAGATCTAATGAATTTGGGTCGATTTGGTAATCTTTGTTTAAAAAATTAAGAACAGCAGCAAAAATTCTGGTCATTAATAGTGTATCCTGCAGATCAAAGCGACACTTAGAGATCACTTTACCCTGTGTCTGTCTGTCTAGCTGTCTGTCTGTCTGTCACACCTTATATCTTGAAATCTGTAAGAGGTATGAATTTGATATTTTGTTCATATATTGCTTGGCACTATGGATTTCGTAAATTACCATGGTTACCGACCTTGAAACTCTTGAACTTGACCTTTGATCTACTTTTCAAAGAAGTTCTTAGTGCTGATATACAGCTTATTTTTGACATTTTAGAGGTAAGTTTATGTTTTTTATCATATGTAAAGTTTGTCATGAAATATTATTCAAAATACCTGCCTTACAGATCTTTGAACTACTTTGCAAAAATACTCTGGACGGTTGATTTCACCTATGAGTTTTGAATTTTTAGAGGCATGGTTTTGATAATTATCATTTATATCGCATGTTTATAAGCCTATGACACTGTACTTTAAAACTATATGATATACAGTTACCACACAAACTGAAATTTAAATATTTGAAAATAAATCGGGATCGGTATCCCTTTTTGTAGACTGACAATTGCAGTGAAAACAGACTGAAATCTCTTTTGGGGAATTGCTTGATTAGTTTACATAAAACAAAATGATAAATATTTATTTCTAATAGTTTTATTTTTTTATAATTTATAGTTTTGAGGGTGGGGGAATCGTATTTCTGATTCTATCACAGTCTAACTATGTGTTTTTTAAAGTTACATAATGAGTCAAAATCATGCGTTTCTTTTAAGATATCTGTATCATAAAGCGAAAGATTAATGAAAATTATGAGTATAGCCAAGATATGACCTGGAAAAACAAAGGTTGTATCTACCGTTTCGTTGTTATCGTGCATGTCAAAGTCACGCTACTTTTATTTTTAGCGTAAACTTGTAAACAACATTTAATCAGAGCATGCAAAGGTGAGAAATATGTTCTAATAATCTTTTTTGAAGATCATCATTGTATCAAAATTCTTGATCTACCGACATTCATTTTTTGATACGTGTACATGAGACCATGGTAACTTCTTCAACTTTTCTGCGCACGCGTACAATAAGGAGGAAAAGGTAAAGTTATATTTTCGTATTGGGCCATTCAGAAATTATATTTTTTCTCAATAAAAATAGATTTTTTAGGTTCCCAAACCTGTATTTTTCTGAAACCTAATACTTTCAGGAATTCAACAAAATTTACACGGGTCATGCAAAAATTTTATGTTTGTCAATTTTCCCGTTTGTGCGTCACAGTGTCGCCTTGAGGCAAATGGATGAACTATAATAAATGCTTGTAGCACTCATATTTATGATTTTATAAAGCAGGCAACGTAACACTCAAGCTCAATAAAATGGTGCAAATGATGTCGCTGGGGGTTAAGCGTAAAAAAATAACGAAATGTCAAAGAAAATACTTTTTGAATGAATGCATGAATATGTAACCTTTAAGGCAAAAATACAAAAATGAAGTGAACAAATCATATTGAGATATTTTATTTGGCATATAGTGATTTTTTGAAACGTACGTTACTGTCGCCAACATCGAATAATTACACTTAAATGGCTATTTTTTGTACAAATAACAGTTGAATCTTAAATTAGATAGCACATGTCTTCAAAACATTTATTTGTAAAATGCTATTAATAAATTATTGAGCATAATCACAAATATATTACCAAACTTTGATCTGATATCCCCATGTCGCCAGAAACAAAATAAAAACGGACTGTGACATTAAATATAGTATGAGTATTAGGTATTGTATGCCTGTAAGATTGGAATACGTTTTATTTTGAAGGAAACTTCTTGAAAATTAAAAAAAAAATGTTACAAAGCCTTGTATATGTTACCAATACTTTGAAATTACATTTTATCTTCATATTTTACATGCGTATGGATAGGCATGAAACATTCGTTGTATTAGTTTAATAGATGAAATAGAATGATATCATAGTTAAACATGTGATACTTTTTCTTCTATCCAACAACTGTATTACATGCTCCAACCATGATTTAACAATGTCTTATTGTTAGCTTACTATTTAAGAGAAAATGATTAAATGAAACAACCGTTACCGAAACATTCGTTACCAAACCTCTTAAAAAAGAATGATTTATGAGTTCAAACATCTTCTGCATATATACGTAGTCAAATATTTTGCGCCAGTATTCAAATTTTGACATCCGGAGTACGGTACTGCCTTTTTTATGATTTTTTTCTAAAGTCTAGACAGTGTTGGTGAGTTTGTTTTCTAGAATGCAATAACAATGAATCAAATGTAATGAATTAGTATGTAACTGTTAATATTTATATGACGACCGACAACAACTAAGCAACCAGTATCAATCTACACCTGAATGTCCTCTGTTAGTTTTGAAAGGTGTTGAAACGTTCGTTACCGAAGGTAACGAATGTTACAAAATTTTTAACAAATCATATATCAAAATAGCAACAATATTTACAGAATTTCTTTCATGACTAATTGTTCGAATGTAAACTTTATTGATTGATTTGTATCATTTTAAGCTTAAGTTGCATAAATTTTAATATAAACTGATTCTAGAGACGCATTATTGAACACACACGTTAATTCTGAAGAAAAACATTAATTGAAATTATTTTGAAAGACATTTTTAGATTGAATCATATGATATTGATTAAACTAAGGCTTGAGTTTTTATTCTGAATCTACATAAGGGTTTTTTGTTTCTCTCTTATAATTTTGATCCTG